TTATTCGGGATTGCACCATTAAAATTTTTATATCCTACTGAGTATTCCCATATACTCACCCTTTTTCCCTACACCTCACAGGGTAGATCAGGTTATGTCGGAGCGTGATGGTTCGTTGGTGTGTTGGTGCCTTGTTTCGCTGGTTAAAGATCTAAGTTAGTACGTAATTTAATTTATTTTAAATTTATTGCAATGAACATTTATTTATAAATAAATTTTCATATATGTTTATATGCAGATGAATATATGTAGTCTGCATTTTAAAATAAAATTTCGAATTAAACATTATTTTTTTTTCGATTTCGCTGTTAGTATTCTTGTAAAAATGACTGGGTATGCTTTTACTATTTGGTTCATGTTAAAGATTATCTTTATGTATATTCTGTGACATTCCTAGAATTAATGAAAACGTATTGTCTAAACAATGTCACATCACTTTTTTTTTTCATATGACTGCTTGGGTATTACAATACATCAGGAATGGAGACTTAAATGTTGGTTGGTGAATGACAGTCACTATAAATGCTGTGAGTACCTATTTATTTTGAATTAGTTTGTGGCTTCTGTTTTCCATGCATACCAAATTTAAATTGAACGTGCAATAATTGTAAAGGCAATTTATCACGTTACTTATGTTGAAATTTAGTGATAATTATGACGCGTTCATAAGAAATTAAAGGATTTAAAAATAAAAATAAAAAAATTTGTAGCGAATTAAATTATAATGATTTGGGTCGTTACAACCCATCCCTCTCTATTTCGATTGGTCGATTGGCGCCTTGCAGTGGTGCCACGTGATGCAGCAACATACGGTGAGGCGACGACGAAGGGTGTGAGTGCCGCTTCACTGCTCACAATGGCGACGGGATGGCAACGGTAATGGGATTTGCGATATGTTGTAGTGAACTTTGATTTGTTCCAGAACCATAGCCATTTGTGATTTGCAGCCTCGGTCGATGTGGTTGGTCTGTGATCTGTCGGAGAGGTGGTGTATTGTCTCGTGTGTTGGTTATGGTCGTGGTGGCTATGATCGTTTCCAGCTGTGGTTTTGTTGGTGGTGGAGACGTTCGTTATGTGTTGTTGGTGAGTTCGGTGGTGGCGATCGTGGTGGCTTCTGGTGGTGGTAAAGGTATTCTTGTGGCTTTTGGTGGCGATGGTGTTCGCGTTGGCAGTGGTGATGTGGGTGGTGTTGCTGAGGTGTGGGTTGGGCATTGTTGGTGTATTTGGTGGTGGCAGGCATATTGGTTCCTAGTGATGGAGGTAGTTGGTGGTGGCTGTGGTTGTCCTAATTTTTGTTGGCATTTGATTTGATTTGGTGGTGTGTGTTGGTTTGGTTTTGCTGGGAGGTGGTAGTGGTAGTGGCGGTGGTTGTGATGGTGTTGTAGGTGGGGTAGTATTTGTGACCAAGTATTATGGTGGATCGGGATCGGGTGTTTGACGTTTGTGACCAACTATTTGGTTCCTTGTGACTGTATTAATTCGTGACTTTAAAATTCGATCATTTTGTAATTAAGAAAGTAATTTGTGACTCTCAAATTTAAAAATATATGACCCGTGACCTATACTTTTTGAATTTGTGACTATTTGTAACCTATAATTTTTTGATCTGTGACATATCAAAATTTTGATTTGTAACCTCAAAAAAATCTGTAACCATAATACGTGATCAGTAAATAAATCTGTGACTTATAATTGTGAATTTGTGACCATTAATCGTATAATTGTGACTTTATATCATTATTTAATAAATATTAATAATTAATTAGTTAAAACCTGATTTTTGCATTAATGAAACTTGTAACCTGAATTTTGCATTATGCATAGTTAAAACCTGATTTTTGTACTCATCCCAAATTTTTTTCTAACTTAACAATGATTTTAGACAGTCTAGGCTTCTCGTAATTTGAAATGTCTTTAGCACAAGAAAAAACAGCCAAGGGACTCTACCCTCTAACGACAAAAATAACCGTACTCATTTCTAGCGTTTTAAAAAGTGTAAAACGTAATTAAACGAATGAGTTAAGCTTCAAACTTTACGAGCCCAAACAAACTTAGGTGAAACCTAGACGTTAAAAAATATTTTCTTATTTTAACACTATTTTAAATTTTTAATGATTTTTAAAATGATTTAATAATTAAAATAATATGTAACAAACATCTCAAATTATAAAATACTGAATTTACTTAATAATTCCTAAAATTAGTCAATTATATAATTTTCAAATTTTCAAAATGCAAAAATTAAATTATTTTTATAATTTAACTTTTAACTAAACAAGCCTTACTTAAAATTTCTAAAGTGCTTTCATTTTTGTATTTTGTACAGATAAAATCATTTAAAACACTTTACCCTAAACCAAATAAAAGTCTTCTAAAGAGAGGAGAAAAAGTATAAAAAAAAATTAATAAAGCACCACTAGGCGCTCATCGCCAAGGCATGATGTTTTGCTCGAGCTCGCGTCTAGATGGGCTTTTTAGAACACTGCTCCCAATGAACCCATATGGTTGTTCTTGCTTGAACTTTGATCAGTAATTAATGGACTACAAAAGTTACCTACAGTACGTTATGGAAGTCGTCATCTTCTGGAGATGATTCACCAGGGGCTCCTCCAGATCTTTGATAGACCGCTATTATGATTGGGTTACATGCGGCTTCCACCTCCTTAAGCTTCTCTTCGTAGTCCTCTTTCTCTGCGTTTTGTTTGTCGTCTAACGACTCAAGGGCCTCCTTTGTAGCAGTCTCGATCTTCAGCTTCTCGGCAGACTCGAGCTTGTCCTTGTCGTTGATTTGGTTCTTCATGCGGTAAATGTATGTCTCGAGACTGTCACGAGCATCAATTCTTTCCTTCACATTCTTGTCTTCCTCAGCAAACTCTTCTGCTTCGCGAACCATTTTCTCGACCTCCTCTTGGCTATATCGATCGCTCTCGTATGTTATGGTAACCTTCTCTGATTTACCGGTGCTCCCGTCTTCTGCCTTGACGTTCAAAGTACCATAGGCATCAACTTCGAACGTCACCTCAATTTGAGGGGTTCCCCTGATAAAATAGAACACAGGATTCACTTCAGATGACAAAATTTAAACAGCAAGTAAATTAATAAAGAATTCAAAAGAAGAATGCAACCAACCTCAGTGCTGGAGGAATGCCGGTGAGATCAAACTTTCCGAGCAGCCTGCAGTCTTTTGTAAGACTCCTTTCTCCTTCAAAAACCTGTTAACAAATTGTCGGATCCTCTCAGCTAACGTTCAAACATGCCATTTTTTGCAGGACATAATCACCCACTTATCTAACAGTACGAACAGGGTAAGAATTATTTGAAACATTACCTGAATAGAGACAGTAGTTTGCTGATCTTGGTAAGTGGTGAAAACTTGGGACGTCTTGGTTGGGCTAACATGGTATTCGTTCCTCACAATCAATTTAGTCATAACTCCACCCACATTTTCGATACCAATGGTGAGTGGTGCCGCCCAGAAAAGAAAGTCTGTACATCAGTCATCCATTCAAAAAAAAGCAGTCTATAAACATCAATAAATCAAGACTGAAGCAAGTACACACACACACACACACAGAGAGCAATCGGTCGACAAGATAACAATTGATGTGATAAACACCTGTTGTTATTCCTCCACCTTCTCCACTTAGAAGACTTCCTTGGATAGCAGCACCATAAGCAACAGCCTCATCTGGGTTCACACCCCTGTTGGGCTCCTTCCGATCGAAATAATCCTTGAGGAGCTGCTGAACTTTAGGGATCCTGGTGCTTCCACCTACAAGGACGATTTCATCAATCTGATTTTTCTCCAAATCGGCATCTTCCAAGGCTTTCTTCACAGGTCCCATGGTCTTTCTGAAGAGGTCATTGTTCAACTCCTCAAATCTGGAACGGGTCAATGGTTCAGAAAAATCGATACCATCAAAAAATGATTCAATTTCAACACGGACTTGGTGCTGACTGCTCAGGGCTCTCTTAGCACGTTCACATTCTCTCCTTAGCTTCCCAAGAGCTATGTTATCTTTGCTGATGTCCTCTCCATGCTTTTTCTTAATCAGGTTGATGAAGTATTCCATAATTCTGTGATCAAAATCCTCTCCTGCACAAAAGTGAAACTTCCATATATTGTAACGCGAGAACTCCCAAAATGTTAATTCTAACTCTTCCTCATTGCAGTGCAGAATAATATATACATAGTGGAGAACTAGTTTTTACATAACTACTATTTTAAATTCAGCAATCAAACTCAACCTATTATCATGAGACGTATCTGAATAATATATATTTCTGATTGCTCAATGGATCATAATCCAGTTGATCTCTCAGCTCTATCATTGAATGACTGTGTTCAAGGGCTGTCCGTTTGGATAATATAACGTTTTGTACTTTAATCACTATAACTGCATGATTCAATGCCACTAGCATCCGGGATAGATCAGTTCCCAAATATTGATTGCCTAAATAAATGTACTTATGAAATGTATCAACGTAGAGATGGTAATGGAAAGATCCGTACCTCCAAGATGGGTGTCTCCATTAGTGGCAAGCACCTCAAAGACACCGTTGTCGATGGTCAAGATACTGACATCAAAGGTTCCACCACCAAGGTCAAAGACAAGGATGTTCTTCTCCCCACCTTTCTTGTCCAAATTATAGGCAATTGCTGCTGCTGTTGGTTCATTGATAATCCTTGCCACGTTCAAGCCAGCAATTACACCAGCGTCATTGGTGGCCTGCCTCTGTTCATAATTGAAGTATGCTTCCAGTTATAACCACAAACAAATGGATAGTATAACCAAATAGACAAAATGTCATTAGTTAAGGTTTCACTAAAAGTAAAACAACGTGAAGATGGTAAATCATAAAAGTTAGACTTACCAGGAACTGTTACAACAGCATCCTTAATTATCTTCCCAAGGAATGCTTCTGCAGTTTCTTTCATCTTTCCTAAAATCATAGCACTGATTTCCTTAGGGCTGAAGATTTTAGTCTCGCCATCCCTAATTTTGACTTGAATATAAGGCTTTCCATCCTTGTTCACGATTTTGTATGGAACAAGCTTCATATCCTTCTGAACTTCCTTGTCCTCAAACCTGTCAAGAAATAATTTAAAACTTCAATCAGTATTTATTAATCAAATGCAGAATAATTATACGTATATAAACTGAGCAAAAAGAGCTTACTTTCGTCCAATGAGTCTCTTTACATCAAAGATAATCCTCTCAGGGTTGACAGCTGCCTGGTTCTTTGCAGCTTCACCAATCAATCTTTCAGTGTCGGTGAATGCAACCCATGATGGGGTAATTCGGTTTCCATTAGCTACGATTTCGACATGTCCATTCTTAGAAACACCAACACGGGAATGGGTTGTACCAAGGTCTATGCCAATAACTGTTCCCAATTTAGTGGCTTCCTCTTTTGCGATAGAAATTGCTGGTAGACAGACTGTTTGATAAGGTAAGTCAACATTATTACTCATTTAGCAAACTAATTATATTTGAAACACAGAAGCCAAAAGCAATTAGAACCATGAGAAGAAAATGTCAGGAAGCAGTAGAGTTTCTGAAATAATAATAAGTTATTGATTACTGTAGATATCAAATTCTCAGTCCAGTATCTACTCATCCAGGCCACAGCTCATTTCATCTATTTAACTTTGTTCGGAGGCAAGCACTCGTGTAATTGCAGCAACAGTTGTTATAATTGCATTGATTAATTGTGCCTTTCCACTTTCCAGCACTACGCCCGACACAGGACCCATCCCAAATCACCCTAATGGACCCAAAACGTGAGAAGCGCCGATAATGGATGCAAGCTAGGCGCTAATCCATCTTCTTTGACTATAATGAGTGGGTTGTAACAATCCCCCTATTTAGTGGGGATTAAAATCTAATTTTTAGTAGATTTTGATAAATTTGATGAAATGCTTGATTGAAA